TTCAGTTGAAAGAAACCGAGGATATTCAGAAGCTGGAATAGTGAATTAGCCCGTTTTTCGGGCAGATGTGGACTAGTGCGAGTAGCTACACCATCGCTTCCGTGGTTGTTGTCAAGAAGGGCCCGTAGCTTTTCTAATCTGCACTTTTCCTTTCGTTATTGAAAATTTAAAGTGAATGTAGGCGACTGTTCTGAGCGTTATCATAACCATTTTTTTAAACTGGAGGAGAAAGTGTCTGTGGTCTTGCAGACTTTTTTTTTAATTATTTGGTCCTTCAAGAGTTAAACCCCAGCTGGCAATGTCCCCCCCCCCGTTTTAAATCCCTTGAGATACTCAAACATGAGGCATCTGGTTCCTCTGTCCAGCTTGGGTCAATAGTAACATATTGGTCTGAGTGACTTGCCCAGCTGTTTCTTGGAAGGTGTCAGGCATTGAGAGAGAGAGAGAGAGAGCGCGTGTGTGTGCTCTTGAGCTTGTTCCATGCCCCCACAACCCTTTGGGTAAGGAGATCTCCTGTTCTCAGATTTTTAGGTGCACATCCTGGTGTAGTTTCCACCTGGTTTGTGCTTCACTGTTTATTCTCGATGTGTGGGTGCAGTTGCTCGCTGGCTTTGAGGATTTTGAGTGCTCGAATCTTGATTCGGTGCCTCCGTTTGAGCCCAAATGTTCTTTCAATCTTCTGTGGTGGAGATCCTATAATGAGCAAGACTAACATTTAAGCTGGTTGATCTTCCCACTGGCAGCACGGTGGATAGGGAAGGCTGCCTCATGGTGCTGTGGCCCTGGGTGTGATGTTGGACGTGAGGTGCTGTCTGTGTGGAGTCTGCATGTTCTCCCCGTGGTCACATGGGGGTTTCTCTGGGTGGTCTGGTTTCCTCGCATAGTCCACAGACAAACTGGTGGATGAATTGGCTGCTGGGGGGAAAAAAGTGTCTGTGTGTGCGTCCTGTGGTGGACTGGCCCTGGTGTGTCTGTGTGTGTCCTGTGACGGACTGGCCCTGGTGTCTGTGTGTGTGTCCTGTGACGGACTGGCCCTGGTGTCTGTGTGTGCGTCCTGTGACGGACTGGTGTCCCATCCAGGTGGTGTCCTGCCTTGCTTGCTGGGATAGACTCCAGCTCCCCCCTGCGCCCCTGGATCGGGAGAAGGGGTGGCTAACGGCAGTGTCTCCGTGGTCTCGCCCCCCCCCCACAGTGTTCCC